TTGTAAACCAAAAGATGTGTTGCATTGGATAAATCTGCTGCCAAGGACCTCTTTAGTGAGCAAAGATGTCAGTTTAAAGATTAAGGTGTGCCTTGACACAAAGTGAGACATAATAAATATACCTTGGATATGCCTTTACATTCTGATATTTAAGGCAGAGAATTGACTATCTGATGGTCTACCTAATGAACAAAAAATTCTGTCTTGGAGGAAGGGTAACCAAGCTGTTCATTAGATTCAAGGATAGTGAGACATCATCAACCATATTTGGGGTCTGTTTCAGGAGGTGCCAGCCCTTGGAAAAAGACACCATATTGAATAAAACAGAGGGTCAGTGAGAGAGAGGACACACTCAACTAGATAATTTGACACCACAATGGCAGTAATGGGTTTAATTAAGCCTGGTGAAGGTCATGAGGATGACACAGGAGGGACAAAGGGTAAAGGTTTCATCTGTTGTTCACAGGGTCGCTATGAATTGTCGTCAACTTGACAGATTCTAACCACAGCAAGCAACAAAAGGACGAGAGGGTTGGCACTGCGCATCTTACTGTCATGTTGATTTCAATTCCTAGTGACCCTCCGTCAGGTTTGCAAAGCTATAAACCTTCACAGGAGGAACTTCCCATCTCCCTCCTGAAGAAGAGCTGGTGCATTGTAACCACTGGCTTTTCAGTTAGCATACCCACATGTTATGCACGACACCACCACTTCTAAGTCCTGAATCTCCCCTCTGCACATTTCTTGTATTGTTTTCAATCTCCCTAACATCCTGTGAAGCAGCTGTTCCTTCATTGTGAAGCTTTGTAAAAATTAAAGACCTATGACTTATATCAACTGGGTAGCAATTTGAATATAAAGAATTTCATTATTTTGCAACATTGAACAAAGCAGAAACATGGTTCACATGCCAGATTTAAAAAAATTTTATTACATTTTATTAATTTTAATGTACATTTACAGAGATTTTGGTTTTCCATTCATTCATTGTTGCACTATTTTCTCTACCCCCCCAGTTTGTTCCTCTTTTTTTTCCCCTTGAAAGTCTGTTTTTAGTTGTTCCATTGCCACAGTGCTTGTCAAAGCCAGTTCTGATTAATCTCCTTTGTCAGTGTGTCCTTTGCCATTTACTATCACTCCTCCCTGAGAGAGACTTCACCCTGATTCATAAGGAAAAGGGGATGGCGTATTCTTTTAGCTACTTCCTGCTTAAAAGGGATGCTGTATTTTAAGGTCCTGGAGTGATCAACATTTTATGTTAAAATAGACCTGCTTTAATTTAAATTATCATGGACTCATGAAAGTAATATGTGGAGCATACAATATAAGAGTAACAATGAGTATCTTTTGAGCATGCTTGGGTATGGACATGTGTGTTGAGGAATGCATAGTATAAAGATGTCCTCAGGAAAGGTAGGAAAACCCCCAGGAAAAATCCCTATGCATCTACTATCTTGTTCTCCTGTATGAAAATATATGTGATTAAAGTAAATAAAAGAGAAGCAAATTGGGAGAAAACTATGTTGGAAAAAGCCCATCCCAAACTTTATAAAATAAAGAAAATCAAAGCAAGCAGAAGGAAATAATACAGATAAGAGTATAAATCAATGAAATGCAAAAAAGAAAACAACATAGAAAGACCAAGAAAACAAAAAGTTGCTATTTAGGAAAGATAAAGTTTACAAACATCTAGCAAGACTTCATCTTACATTCTTGGGGCATGTGATCAAGAGTGACCAGTCCCTGGAAGAAAAGATCATGATTGATAGAGTCAGTGGCAAAGAGGAAGACACTGACGTGGACTGACACGGGCTGCATCAGTGGGCTGGAGCAGAGACTGTGAGGAGGTCACAGGATTCAGCAGGCTGTTGTACGTGGGGTTGTGGTGGGTTGGAACTGATTCACCAGCCACTAACAATACAACATCAAGATAGACCAAGAAAAAAGAGCAGGAAAACATACAAATTGCCAGTGTTAGAAATGAAACTGATTTCACTCCAGGCACTGCAGACACCAATAGTTAAAAAGGAAAGGTAATAAGGGAATTTTGGACCTCCGGAAGTGTAGTTCTTGGTGTGTTTTTGCGGCTGAATGAATAAAGCGTGTACATCTTCAGCATTTCTGCTCTCACTTTGTGCTGTCCAGGGTGCTGAACTAGGTTCTACACCACACCGTTAATGGATGAAGCAGTAAGACTGGATTCCAAGACGGATTTAGAGAGACATTGTACTGCTTATAAGTGCTAGTCTGTTCCCACAGCCGGTCATCCAGGTGATAACGGCGCTGCATCCTAATCTTCCCTATTTGGAGTTACGATGCTGGTCTCAGAGCACACCTGCCATTTACTGGAAGGAAACACAAGAAGATGCGGGAAGGTTGCCTGCTTGAGAGTGTGTGGAGCCAGAGCCACTGATTGGAAGCCAGATCAGCACCCTGGACAGCACACAGGGACAGAGATGCAGCCTGTGAAGAGGGCTGCACTGGAGGCAATGGGAGTGGAGACAATGATGCGGTGGTGATGAGAATGGTGATGGTGATGTGATGATGATGGCAGTGATGCTGATTACACAGTGTTTCAAAGCCTAGAGAGGAGAACCTTACATAAAGGAAGCTGCTTCTGCTCTTTATGTCTTTTATAAGTGTACTGTGATCCCAGCTAGGTCCATGGGTCCAACCTCAGGAGAAAGTTTCTCCTGACTCAAGGAGATATGGAGATGGAAGAATCCAAGGCCACCAGTTTGTAGTTAAGCAGGCTGCTGATTCAAGTTCAAAGTTTCTGGTTTCCTATGTGGCCCTTAGCTGCCAGAAACAACTTGGAGAAATAGATTCATATGTATCTTTCTTGACTTTGCATCTGTTTTAACTAAACCTCAAAGCCCCCCCCAAGACCATCACACCCCAGTTTCAAACCCCAAGTACACATTGCTGGCCAACCCTACTCCCCAACACATCCCTGCATTTGCTGCACAATCAGGGGACCCCTGCCCTGGGAGAATGATGGGTGTGCAGAACAAAATCAGTGACTTCCCACCATGGTAGGTTGCAGTGAAGTTCTGTCAGCTCAGTTCTATCACCTGTAGATCAAAAATAATTATTCTTACTCCAGCTCTAGCCCTTCCCCAAGGCTATCCTGAAATCAGAGGAGATGAGGAGTCTAGGAAACTTTGCAGAGCTGGAGAGGCACCCTGTGTGACGAGATCATAACTGAGACACGCCTGTGGCAGAGTCACGATGACAGAGAAAAGAATCTGAGTGAGAATCCCACTGGGACGTGATGGGCTATTATTATTATTATTATTATTTGCTATGTTGTCAGATTCTATTGCCTCAAATGTCATTAAGAATTTTTGTATCTAAATTAGTGAAGGATAATAGTTTATAAGTTTCTTTTTCAGTGGTGTTATTACTAGAGAGTCCTTAGCTCTGCACAAGGCAAACACTGACCGGGGTTTGTGAGATGAATGAGTGCATATTTTGCGAAGGTGTACCAATGGGAGACTGACCCAGTATCATGGCTCCAAAGTGTCTGCTCACCCTGGGTTGACTTTCAGGGTTATTTGTACCACAAGTCAGGATTGCATATCTCAACAATTATTCTCAGACATACATGAAAGGAAATGTCTAGTCGCCATGGACAGACAGTAAGTTCTGACTGTGGTACATTTCTAGCAGTACAGTGTGTTTATCCTGTGTCCACTTAGTCTTGAAACAATTTGTGATGTTTATGAGGTCATCATGACCTGAAGAAGGAAACAAGACCAGGAGGGGGCAGAGGGCATTCATGCTTCTCACAGAGCTTTTGTCTGGCTTTCGTATCAGAGTTGTACTTGCTTCAGAAAACAAATCTGGGAGTGTTCCATCCTTTCCTTTGCCCTGGAATGGTTTGAGAAGACTCAGTGTCAGGCCTTCTCTGAGTGTTCAGCAGAATTCACCAGTGAAGGTAAATTCAAGACTTCTGTTGCTATTGGGAGGGTTTTTGTCTCTTCACTTTGCTTTGTTTTACAACCTGCTCAATTTTGCCTGGGGGTGAGGTTCAGGAGCCAGGAAGGAGAAGGGAGAAGGAAGAACAGAAAGTGGAGGGTTTGGGATTGGGTGGGGGGTGGGTGGGGGGTGCGTGGTGTGTAGTCAAATGAGATGAGTGACGTTAGATGGAGGGGTCAGCAAGTGATGGCATGAACAAAAAGTGTCTGATCTGTTGAGTGGAAAATGGATTTGCTGTGTAAACCTTCACTCAAATAACAATTCACAAATCAGAGCCTAGCTTGGGTGCAGGCTGGTGTTGCTGGCTGAGGAACCTTTCAATGAGGTGAAGTGTGTTGAAGATTCTGCCTTCTGTGCCACATGAGAGCACCCAGCTCCCGGGTCTGTAAGCCATGCTGCTCTGCTCAGCACTGGAGCACAGCTCCCGGGTCTGTAAGCCATGCTGCCTTCTGCTGTGGTCATCCTGGCCAAGGCTTAGGCTTAGAGCTGGTGACCAGGACAGCATTGCCTACTGGTCCATGATGGCAAGATGATGGCATAGTCAGCCAGGGCAGGTATAACAAAGACAGGAGGGGCTGGGAGAGGATAAATGAACACAGGGTGAACCTTAGGGACATTGTCTACTGAGCTAAGGTACCCCCCCAACCCCACCACTGGCCTTAAGAATACTGTTTGGGGGAGAAGGGCTGAGCTTTGGGTCCCCACTCCATGGCAGTCTTCTTCAGGCTCAGGGGATTTTGGGGTAGTGAGTGGGACACCTGAAGGTAGAGAAAGAGCTAAGCCTCCCCCAACCCCCCACCGCACCTCCAACGGCAGAAATACAGGCCCTGTGCTCCTAAAGCCAGACCTGTCTGTCCTTTAGCCTCTCCTTGTCCCACTGCCCAGAGCTGCTGGCCAATTTCACAGGGGACCCCATGCAAACCCTGCCCTAGACCGCCCAGCTTCCCTAGGCAGTGGGCCCTACACAACAGACACAACAGACCTGCTTCTGTGTTCCGCAGGGCTGTACCTGGACAGTCATGGAGCACATCTTCATTGTGGGGCTTCTTGCTGGTACGTATGGTGGCCTTTCACTCCCACGTGAGGGACAGAGAAGTGTTGGGGAGGAGGAGACAGACACATCAGCAACAGCAAGTGGGCCCACGTCTTAGCTTCCTGCAGGGCACACAGGTGAGGGGGCCCACGTGTCAGTGAGAAGCTGGCCCAGGAAACACTCAGGTGACACCCTGGCTGTTCCAAATGTGGCCTTGTCACCCTCTGGGCAGGTCCCCAGACAGAGTCACAAGGATAGAGTTGATAGAACTTCTCCCAGGGCAGTCAGAGGGCACCTTGGAGGAAAAGAAGACAAAGCTTCATCTCACATACATGGGGCATGTTGCTAGGAAAGACTGTTCCTGAGAGAGGGGCGTCATGGAAAGAGGTGAGAGACGGAGAGCCTGAACGAGGTGGATTGACACAGAGACTGCAGCAATGGGCTCAAACATGTCAGAGAGTGTGAGGATGGTCTGGGACAAGGGTTCAGGTCTCTTCAGGGTTCAGCTCTGTTAACAATGAGTGAGTTAATGGGTCCGTCCATGCTTCCAGTCAACACCTCCTGGACATGGCATCTGTCTCATAAGCATCACAGCGTAGGAAACCCTGGGCCCTGCGGGTGACAGATCCACTCAGTCACTGGGGTCACCTGGAGTCAGAAAGGACCCAGAAAATCCAACAGCGGCAAGGGGTGGAATAAACCCACGGATGTGCTGCGTGGGAAAGGACGATGCCTGGGAGAGTCAGGGCTGGTGCTGTCCTTTCTGCTGACCAGTCAGCCCCTGCCTCAGAGCGACCCCCTCACAGTGGACACAGCGGTGCCCAAGTCCGTGCTGATATTGAAGCTGACAGTTGTGATCCGGAGACTTCTCACTGGCTGGTCCTTGGGAATAGATCTCCAGGTCTTTCTTCCTGGTCTGTCGTAGTCTTGAAGCACCATTAACTTGTTCAGTGTCATAACAACAAGCAAGCTTCCAAGGGCAGGCAAGTGGAGCCAAGGTGCATTGATTAGGATTCAAACCTGGGTCTCTGGCTTGGAAGGTGAATATTCTAGCCCTGAACCACCACCGCCCGGCCCTGTTAGCACTTCATTTCCCCTGGGGGTGTCTGTGACCACACAGAAGAGTGTGCTGAAGTGCTAGCCCTGGTGTGGGGGCAGCAGACACGAGAGCAGGGCCCCCCCCGATCCTGAAACACACCTTCCCCTTTATTCTCCTGTTGTTGTGTGCTGTTGAGTTGGAACAGACTCAGCTCACCCTTCAGTGGCTTGTAAATCACGCGAGATGAAATTTCTCATCTTTCTTACAAAGAGCAGCTGGTGGATATGAACTCTGTGCCTTTGGGTTGGCAGTGCAGCTCCTTACCACTAGGCCACCAGAGCCCTTGTTGATACCACCTCTAGAGATGGTGTCAGATAACTTGTTTTACCAAACAGCCACATATTTATGGTAGAAAGACCTGAAACACTAAAAAGGAGAAAAATATCCCTGACACTCGCCACTCTGAGTGAAGGTGCTAGAGGTCAGGGTGAGTGCCAGTGGCCACAGCAGTGGGCTCGAACTGAGTGGAGACTGAAGGTGGCCCAGGGGACAGCAGGGTTCTGACCTGTTGTACAGGCATTGCTGTGAGTCTATTGGGCTAACGTTTCTTTAGAATAGGTTGTTGGATTGTAGTCATCAGGTTGGAGGTGAGGAGCTATGAACAACTTCCAAGTTTCTTCTGAAGAAGGACCAGCAGGATAATTACCAAACTGAATGAGTCTGTCGCATAGTTTATCTCAGATTCAGTCTTGTCGGTTTGAAACAAAACAATTATTATAAAAATTAGAGAAAATGATAAGATGCCGAATTTACATCTTTATTAAAACAGATGCTAATAATGTTTATGTTTCTTGGTCAGCTGATGACTTCTTAAAAATTATCCAGAGTCCTTTTCCATTGTTGTGTTGTGAAGCACCATTGATCTGAAAACAACTCATAGCTGACTCTGCAGTGGGTTTTCAGAGACAGTAAATCTCATGGAAGGAAACTGCCCATTCTTCCCCCATGAGGAGTTGGTGGATTTGAAATATATGCCTTTGAGATTCCAATTCAGCTTCTTATCACCAGGCCACCAGAGCGCCCCCTTTACCATTGGGAAACTGTTGATAGTTTTTATCCCGTGAGCATTTGTCGTGTGATGAATACGAATTCTTTTCCCAGGTACGTTTTTCTCTGCTAACTCGTTGATGCAGAAGGAAGACCCTGCCCCCTACCTGGTGTACCTCAAGTCTAACTTCAATCCATGTGTTGGAGTTCTCATCAAGAGCAACTGGGTGCTGGCGCCTGCGCATTGCTACCTACCGTGAGTCTCGCTCTTGCCCGAGGCGGCTGCTCCTCCCACCGCAGCAGCCCTCAAGTGACCACTTCTCCTGGGAGGCATCTGGCAAACTGTGCTGTCTCACTAGGAGGTTAAAATGTGTGCTCTGGAAACCAGTAGAACAAGGAGTGAACCATCCACTTAGCCACCAGTAGCACCCTCCTGCCTGGAGGGAACCCTGGTCTGCCTACCATGTCTCTTCGTCTCCCATTGATATTTTCAAGTTTGTCACTGGTAATATGGACACTACTGGTCACATGAGTGAATACACTGTGTTACTGGAAATACAAGTACATTGGGTCACTGGTGAAAGGAATGAATATATTGTATTGCTGGGGATAAGAATACATTGGCTCACTGGAGAGGTGAATACCTCACTGGTGAAAGGAACACATTATGTCACTTACTCTACGAAAACATGATGTATATGAATGAGTGTATGTGAACCAATAAAAACCCAATACAGTGGATTGCTGGCAATAAGAATACATTTTATCACTGATAGCAGGAATTCATTGTATTGCTGGTGATGTGAACGTATTGTACCATTGGCAATAGGAATACATTGTATTAAATAAGATCCCCACGGAGGCTGAGATGTACTCAAATGCGATGAACTGAAGAGTTTTGATGAGGGGGCTACTTACAAAGATGCAGACAAGCTGCAGGGGAGACAGACAGAAGAGTGACCCAGGTTAGCATTAGGAAGATGGAGGGAGCTGTTGTCCTATACCTGGAGGCCCTATCACCGTAGAGCAAGAAGAGAGCATGGCTCCTTGGAGAGAGAGGACAGAGAGGACAGTAGGTGAAGAAGCCCTGTGTGTTCAGGTCCGCATCTGTGCCCCTTGCCAGAGGTGGGAGAAGGGAGACTCAACCTCTCATACCCGCAGCTACCCTCTGTTGCCTCTTGTTAGCCACAGCACACTGGAAACCCAAGGGCAAGCACATTCACTGGGCCCATATGTCACCCAGAAAGACATCACATGTGGGGTTGGGGTTTGAGGGCTCTGTCACAACCAGGAGGTCTTACACGGTGTCCCCTCCTTCCATCCCCACAGAACATCTGGGCTGGTGAGCAGGAAGACGCACTAACATTGTCAGGCTGTGTCCTCCTCTGGTTGCCACAGAGTTCAGGCTAATGTCTCCACTAGGAGCCAACAGTCCTCATAATTCCATCTGTGAAATGGGGAGAAACACAGTGTCCACCCGACAACTCGGCGTGCATGCTGGGTGACGTGACCAGATAGAGCACTGGACACTGCGCATTCTAACCTTCAGTGATGATGTTCATAATGGTAATGATCTTCATCCCCTTTCCTTCCAGGAACCTGAAGGTGATGCTGGGGAACTTGAAGACCAGAATCAGAGACGGGACGGAGCAGACCATCAATCCCATCCAGGTTGTGCGCTACTGGAACTCCAACCACAGCAACCCCCAGGATGACCTCATGCTCCTCAGACTGGCCAGACCTGCCACCCTCAACCAGAAGGTCCAGCCCATCCCCCTCGCCACCAGCAACGTGCGGCCAGGCACCATGTGTCTGCTCTCGGGGCTGGACTGGAGCCATGACAACAATGGTCAGTGTGGGCAGGAGAGAGCTCGGGTTGTCCTAGGCTGTGCGGCAGGACACACAGAGCCATGTCCAAAGACTGCGTCACCCCCTGGCCCAGGCCCGAGAGCCCCGCCACCCTCCCTTTGGGCCGTGTTTGGCAGAAGTGTGGGAGATGTACCCCACTCCCACAGAATATGCAGATCTGGGAATATGAACAGCTATTGAAAGGGTGAATCCCATGCGCTTCCAAGACAGACCTTCGCTCCTCAGCCACCACCCACACTCACATCCACACCCGTAGCTATTCCCTCCCCGCCTCAACCATTGTCACTTTACACATGGGGTTCAGTGGGGCTGGCAGCTGTGAACAGGAGGTTCCCTGGCCCGTCCCCTCAGGCAGGCACCCCGACCTGCGGCAGAACCTGGAGGCCCCCGTGATGTTGGACTCGGAGTGCCAGAAGACGGAGCAGGGGAGGAACCACAGGAACTCTCTGTGTGTCAAGTTCGTCAAAGTCTTTGCCCGCATTTTTGGGGTAATCCTTCTCCTGTACTCCCTCACAGTGGCCCATAGGGTATCCAGGGGAGAAGGAGATAAGCTCGTCTTCCTCCTGAAGAGCAGATGCTGGCTTAGCGCTCGGTCCTTCCCCCCAGAGCCCTCAGAGGTCCTTTCTCATAGAGGTGATGGTGCAGCAGAGCGGTGTTAAGGGCTAGAGAAAGCCCTCGTTCTCCATAGCTCCAGGAGGGATCCCCACTGTCTCCTCATGGTCCGTGGTCATTCATTGCCTTCTTTGTTGGTGCCTTCACATGGATTCTGGCTCCTAGAGACCCCTTATTTCAACTCTGAAAAGAAGTCAGAGAATCTGGGTGTTCCTGGCTTTTGGGAAGAAGCCAAGGCTTCCAGTCTGAACTGGACCTCACCAGCTGTGTCCATGGGCTCTGCCTCTGCATTGGCTCTGAGCTCCGGAGCCAGCAGCCTGGAATCTCTCCTGCAGGTTGGGTTTTGTTTTGTTTGTCTCTGGCAGTGGACTGCAGGAGAAGTCCCATTCCTTTACAGAATGATCTTGACAATGACTCCTCATCTGCAGAGATGAGTTCCTCTGCTTCCCTGCCCCACAACCCCTGCCTCTTCTCCTCTGCTGCCAGGATGTCTCCAGTGTATTGAGGCACAGGACAGAGGAGATGATTTAGGGCTGGTCAGTAGGCTGGCAGGCTGATGGTCTGGGGGGTAGGTCCCCCTGTTCAGTGATCTATGGGGTGTGTGTGACAGGTTGTCAGTCTGGTCCCCACGGGCCCTGTGTCACATGCGAGCTACTGAGAGGCCTGTCAAGGTCACAGCAAGCTCCAGGCACCCTGCTCTGGGGGAGGCCAGTACTGGGGCTCCTGAGGGCAGGCTCTGACCCTCCTCTCCTTGGTCTCCACAGGAAGTGGCAGTTGCCACTGTCATCTGCAAAAACAAGCTGCAGGGGATCGAGGTCGGGCACTTCATGGGTGGCGATGTGGGCATCTACACCAACATCTACAAGTACGTGTCCTGGATCGAGGACATCACCAAGAACAAGTGAGGCCCACAGCTCCTATGCATTGCACTGTGCCACGGCCCACAGCCGATCCCACCCAAAGTTCAAAATAAAGTCCCTAATCAGAAGTCTCCACTGTACCTCCCTGTGGCTTTGGCCTTGTCTGAGCCACGTGCAGCCGTGCTGGGCGACAGGGTGTGATGGGAAGTGGTGGTGGCAAGGCTTGTTCCCCTCCAGAAGGGCACAGTGAGATACAGAGGCCACGTGGTCTCACGGTGGCCGGTGGCCAGCAGCCATGATAGATAGTGGTACTCTCTCTGTCACTTTCTTCCATGCAAAGCTTGGAGATCGCAGCAGACCCCACTGGACGAGACTTAAGAGGCCAAAGTCAGAAGAGCTTTAGAAAAATGGCTGATGATACCATTTTATCTGGCACTCCAAGGTTTCTTTTTTTTAAAAAAATTTTATTAACGTTAATGAAAGTTTACAGAGACTTAGGGTTTCAAGTCATTTATTGTTGCACTTTTCTCCCTGCCCACCCCCTTCTCCCCAATTTACTCTTCTCCTTGAAAAGAAACACTCTTTTATTGTTATGCAATCCCTCCCCCTAAGTCCACTCCACAATACAGTCTTCTCCCTGGACTTCTGTAATGACAAGAATACCCATTCATCGATCTCTTTTAAACAGTTCTCTCCCTCATCTGTTTCGATGCAATATACATCGTTCCTCCCCTCCTTTTCTGTCTTCACTCAATCCTGATGTCAGTCCCATTTTACAATAGTGGCCCTATGCAGTATTTCTCCTTTTGGGGCTGAGATATTTCACTCAGCATCATGAGTTCTTTGCTTTTCAATGCTGTATAATATTCCATTGGGTGGATATACCAGAGCTTCTCTATCACTCCAAGGTTTCTGAAGATGCTGGTTTAAGATCTTAATGCCAACTAAAGAATAATCAAACATCAGAAATGTCTACATTTTTTACAAAGTAGGGACATTGGGAGTGATTTCAAACCCTGCCCCGCCCCACTGCTGTGAGTCAACACCTACTCATGAGAGCCTCCACACAACTTCAGAGGCTGGACACCCTCTGGGAGCACAGGCTCTTTCTTCTCTTTCTCTCTTGAAGCAGCTGATAGATTTGAACTGCTGACCTTTCTTATGGCAGCCCAACACATAAGCCAGTATGCCACCAGGATCTCCATGGGAAGAGTTACTCTTCCTCCTCCTCATTGCCATCAAGTGGGAACCAACTCCTAGCTGACCCGCATGCTTCCAGTGTGGTAAATGACACCGAGGAGACTGCTCATTTTCTTCCCTGAAGTGGCTGGTGGTTTCTAAACACAGACACAGTCTTTGGGTTCTGCAGCTACACAGCAGTAGAGCTCCCGGCTTTCCAGCTGATCAGAAACTGTTTCTAGACACAAAACTGCATGGGTGGAAACCACAGCTCTGACACTGTCTTGAGAGTGCTCCGACCAGCAGCCTGGACAGTTCTGTGCCATCTCCGTGCACAGCCCTCACTGGCATGGCGGTTCTTCCTGCAGCTTAAGATGTTTGCTTTGAAGATTCTCTATTAAACAAAAGTCCACTTCCATGAAGAAAAAGAAGAGTCTATTGGTGATGGCACAAATGGATGAAATGACCCTGTCCGAGTGCTCCTTAGAGGCAAGGTTGAGGACACGTCATCTCACACGCTCTGGGCATGTTGTCAGGATGGGCTAGTCCCTGGAAGAGGACATAGTGCTTGGAAAGTTGAGGATCCGAGAGAGAGAAGGAGAGCGTCGACGAGATGGACGGACAGTGAGGTTCGGCACAGGGGTGGCACTGGGACACACAGAGGGCGCAGTGTCGACACAGGTGGGGCTTTGTTCTGCTGTGCACACGGCCACTGTTAGTTGGAGGTGACTCAGTGGCTCCTGACAATGACAACAACACAAAAATGCCAACAACAGCATAATAAGGTCAACAAACAGTGTAAAGTTCTTTACCACATTACCCCTGGATGAAGAAAAGGACATCTTTTATAGGAGCTAAGCCGTTCCAAGGACATGGAAGGGTTCAGAGCTGCTGTACATAGGGTCTCTATGGATCGCAGGCGACTCAACCAATAACATTCTATGAGAGGTTTGAAGCAGGAGTGGCATCCACTTCCTAAACAACATGCCTCCGGAAACTCTATGAACTTTGATAAATGTCGATAGTTGTAGAGAGGCTTCAGGCCTTTTGTTCATAGAATCATTATGAGTCGTGCTCTACTCAAAGGAAATCAACAACAACAAACCTTTCCAAAGGGAGTTCTGGTGGCCTAGTGGTAAGAAGCAGTGCTGCAGTCCCAAGGCTCCTCCGTAGGAGGATGGGAGATCTCCTCCCATGCGATTCACAGCCTCTGCTAATCTGCTAGAGGGTGACGAGTGACTCAGCTCTGAAGTGATGGCATGTGACAACCACAGGCCTTTCCAGTGTTTCCAAGACTAGAGCTTAGAAAGGACCGAGGAATGGAGACGTGCTGGTGGAGACTGCTCATCTTACAGATCCTACAATAAGCACTTCTAATTTCTGTGGAAGAAATCACTGGAGAAGCTCAGTATCAGCTGTTAAGACCAGCAGTCAACCAAGCCAAGTGTTGACTGTAAAACAGATCATTGTACTCGTACAAGTTCAAATTGAAGCTGAAGAAAAAGAAAACAAGGCCAAGAGAACAAAAGTATGATTCTGAGTCTAGCCTAATGTGATTAAAAAAATATTAAGAATAGGTTTGAAGTGCTGAGCACCAATAATCAAAGACCAAACGAATGTGGGATGACATCAAGGGTATCATTCATGAAGAGAGCAAAAGGTCACTACAGAGTAGAAAGAAAAAAACGAAAAAATGGATGTCAAGAGCCCCAGAAAATTATGTTAGAGCATAAAGAAGTCACAACATAAAGACGAGGTGCTGAAATCAAAGAGTGAAAGCTGAATAGAACATGTCAAAAGGCAGCTTGGGGAAACAAAGCAGACTATAATAATGGGATGTTCAGAGACCTAGAATTGGAGAATAAAAAAAGAATTCGCTTAGCATTTCTCAAGTTGAAAGAACTGAGAAATTAAAGCCTTGCATTGTAATATTTAGAGAGATGCTATGGGCAAAATCTTGAATGATCCAGGGAAACATCAAAAGAAGATGGAAGGAATATATAGAATCACTGTACTATAAAGAATTGGTCAACACAGAAATATTTCAGGAAGTGCTGTATGATCAAGGGCCAATGGTAATGAAGGAACTAGTTCAAGTGGCACTGAAGGCATTGGCAAAAAAATAAGGTGCCGGGAATCAATTGACATGTTTCAATTGACAGGATACCAATTGACATGTTTCAATGACAGATGCAGGCCTGGACATGCACACCAGCCAATGCTAGGAAATCTGGAGGACAGCTGCCTGGCTGACTGACTGGAAGAGATCTGTATTTATTCCCGTTCCCAAGAAAGGTGACCCAACAGAATGTGGAAATTATCCAACAAATCATTAATATCACATGCAATTGAAATCCTGCTGAAGGTCATTCAAAAACAGAACAGTGCATAAATGGAGAATTGACAGGGGTTGAAGCTGGATTTAGAGGAGGCCATGGAACCGGGGATATCATTGCTGGTGTCAGATAGATCCTGGATGAAAGCAAAGAATACCTGTTCATGCTTTATTGACTCTGCAAAGATTAGAAATTATGGCTGAGGTGTGAAGTATGTGAACCCCAGAACATTTAATTGTGCTCATGTGAAACCTAGATCTACACCAATAGGCTATGGTGCACACAGAGCAAGGGAACACTACCTGGTTTAAAATGAAGACAGGTGTATATCAGGGTCGTGTCCTTTCTCCTACCTATTCAAGCTGTATGTTGAGCAAATTATTTGAGAAGCTGGATTCTATGGCATCAGAATCAATAATCTGCGTTATGCAGATGACACCACTTTGCTTGCTGAAAGTGAGGACGACTTGAAGCACTTGTTTACAGAGGGTCAAAGACTACTTCCTGTTGGCTTTTCTATGATCTTGTGCAAGTTCCAGTCTTTTCTGACACCCAGTTTTGCTTTTTCTTTCTTTCCTGTCTTTGCTCTTCAAAGGGTAAAATGCTCTTCAAAGAGTTGGCCTAGTGGTAAAGCGTTGCCCTGCTACCCAGAAGGCCTGGTTTGAATCTGCGAGGTGCCCCATGGGAGAAACATGGGCAGTCTCCTCCTATGTGATTAGCTGCCTCTGAAAACCCATTAAAGGGTAAGCTATGAGTCCATTCACACTTGACGGTACATAACAACAATGCTCATCCAATGATCCCTGTGAGGTCAAGGTTAGAGCCATCTCCTGCCAAGTCAAAGGTCAGTGGTCAAAAGACACCTGTTGTTCTCTGGAAGTAAGAAGAGGCATTCTGCTTCCAGAAAGATTACAGCCTTGGAAACTCTATGCGGCAGTTTTACTCTGTCCTATAGTTGCTATAGTTGTTATGAGGTGGAATTGAATTAATGGCAATGTTTAAAAATTCTTATAAAAATATCAGCATCTAGAAAGATGAAAGTGGGAGAACTCTATCAGGTCTAAAGGAATTTGATAACTGAATGCATTACAGGCTCTTGAATTGATGGTATATAATTAATATTGGAAGCAGGAGTGGCATCCACTTCCTAAATAACATGCCTCTGGAAATGCTATGAACTTTGATAAATGTCGATAGTTGTAGAGGGGCTTCAAGCTTTTTATTCATAGGGTCACTGTGAGTCGTTCTCAACACAAAGGCAATCAACAACAACAACAGCAATAATTAATAAGACATATCAAGACCTTCTGGATGCGATTAAAGCAATGTTGTTTGTTGTTGTGATGTGCTGTCAAGTATGACTCATAGTGACCCTGTGGACAACAGATCTGAACTCTGTCCTGCCCTGCGACACCCACCTCACCTCTGACACACATGGCCTCATTACTGTAGTCGCTGTGTCAGTCTATCTTGTTGAGAGACTTCCTTTCTTTTGCTAACCCTCCACCTTTTGAATCTTGATGCCTCTCTCCAAGAATAGCCTCTCTTAGCAAGATGCTCAAAGTGTGTGAGACACAGCTTTGCCCTCTTCTTCTCCAAGAGGCGCTCTCATTTCCCTTTGCCCAGGACATATCTGATCTTTTGGCAGTCCACGGGATAATTGTCACTCTTCTCCGACACCACAACTCCACGAGCTGATTCTTCTCTTTTCATCCTGATTCACTGTCCAGCTTTGGATGCAAACCAAGTGATTGTCATTAGATAGAGGTAAATTTCCAGACTTTCATGCGTGTGTTATAAAGGTTACCTATTATCCAGATCTTAGTTTGTCCCCTAGGGATTGGGGTAGAAGTGCCACATAGGGTTTGCAAGGTTGTAAATCTTCGTAGGAGCAGATTGCCTGTTCTTCTGTAAGTGTTGTGTGCATTGGATGACGCAACATCTCAGCAGCCAAATGCTTAGGCCCTGCACCACTGGGGATCCTTACAAAAGATGACAACACTGTTAAGATCAATAGTGTGTCTCCATATCTCAAGATGTCAGGTAAAGAATGACCAAGTTAACCTCCAAAATACAATGAAGGAAGTAATTAAGGTCAGAGTGTTTGTCAAAACATAAACTAGACACATAACAGAGAAAAATAAGGTGGGTTAAGAGCAGCATCTTTGAACATATTAAAAAAAAATAAAAACTAGTAAGGAAGGCCCTCTATGAGGTGGATTGATTCAGTGACTGGGGTAATTGGGATGGGAGTGTCGGAGACAGTGCGATTGGCACAGGACAGAGCAGAGTTTAGGGCTGTTGTACATAGGGTCGCTATGAGTCGCAGGCGACTCGACGGCACAGACCAATAACAACAACAAGAATGATCAAGGGGAAAATGGGGTAGAACATGAATTGTTATAGTCAGAAATAGAAATAGGGGTTGTTACCACAGATACAACAAGTCTGAAAAGCATAAAACAAGTATCATAAACACTTTTATGGCAGCAAATACAACAATTCAGGAGTTCATCTGAATTGTCATATGAACTCCTTGGAAAACACAATTTATGAAAATGGATGCAAACTGAAACAGACAATTTTAATAGCCTTATTTATATAGAAGACATTGGACATGAAAACTTTCCCACAGAAGAAAACAGACTGATTCATAATTTCAAACAAAAAAACCCCAATACTATATTTTCAGTATTTTTTCTCAGTATCAAAATGCCTTGATCCCATGAGGGAACTTAGAAGAAGGAAATGTGTCAGGGAGCGGCAACAGTCCTCGACAAGGAGTCCCTGACAGCACCCGGTGACGAGAACTTCCTGTATCTAACATTCTCCTGGCCTTTCCAGACTCCAGCGTCAAGGCCATCGCCGTTGACCGTGGGATACCCCCCTCCTCTGGAGTTTTGCGTGGCATGATGGTGTTCGCCGTCCTTGGTTTCTGTCTCTTTGCACTCAGGGATCTATGTCTGAAGGTCTCACACATCAGTGGTTAGATCTCATGAGGCTTGAGGGACAGAGAGAAGCCAGTGTGATGGTCTCTGGGCTAGTGACATGTCTAGGAGCCTTTGTGGGGCCTTTGGCTTGGGGGTGGCTTTACCTCTTTGGGGCTGGGCCAGAAGGAAGCAGGGCCTGGCACCTCACAGCTGGAAGTGTTGTGATGACCGGGAATTAGGAAGGAGCCTGGGGTTGAGAGGCTTCTTAGTGGGGAGTTGTCAAGTTTCCCCGCTAGACCAAACTTTTCATCATCTTACTTGATTAACCTCAGGAGAGAAGGGTGCGAAGTTTCCCTGGCTTTTCCTTGACTGTCTCCCTAGGGTTCCTGAGAACCTGAGAAAGTTTAGCTCCTCAGGAATCATGCTCCTTGGGGGCAGGAAGGGAGGAGAAAAGAGGAAAGGAGAGGGGGCGAGAGGTTTGGACTCCCATCAGCACCCTCCTTGTGGACTCTGCCCTGAGCTCCTGTGTGCAGACAGCGTTCTTTCCTGAGAGTGGAGTTGGCATTGTCCCTGTCTCTGGGTATGGTTTTGTGAAAGCAGGAAGGAGGTGGCCGGGAGAGCCATAGACACTTCTACCAGATTCCCTTCTCTGGAGGTGAGTGGGCTCTTAGTGGCTGAGAGAGAGGCAGGCAGGAGCCTGAGGTTCTGGGCGTGGGCATGGCCAGCACGAGGCCACCAGGAGCTGCAGAGAGGACAGCTCACCTCCAAGTCCCTTCTGTCCAGCAGAAGGCAGGTCAGCCCTTCTCTGCTGAATTCAGGGACAGGGTCAGGTCTTCCCATCACCTATGACTCTGCCACTTCCTCTTCCTTCATCTGCATGCCACTTTGCAGGGAATGTAGGCAGGGAGATACAGCTTGGCTGAGTGAAGGATGGATGGAGGGAGAGCTTGTCAGAAGGCTCATCTGTCCATTCATTGATCTGTTCTTTGATTCATTTGTTGGTTCATTCATTCATTCAGTACACAGGAGAGCTCACATACGAGTTGTATTCATGCTCTCTTCTTGGCGCTGGCAAACTAGGGGAGAAAGACAAAGCCTCCACCCTGAAGACATTAAAAAACCCCCCCACACCCCCAAACAAACAAACAAACAAAAACAACTCAATCTGACTGCCAACATCTAGTCCAATAGATGACAGGTGGAACTGCCACTGACAGGCAGAACTCCAGGGTTTCCAAGACTGTCATTGTTCAAGGAAGCAGAATGCTATTCCTTTCTCCCCTGCCTGGAGGGACCTACTTATAATGTGAGTTTCAAAGGAGAAGTTACTCATCAAGTGAAAGCGCAGTGTAGATTAAATAATTGATGGGAGCTCACTAGGAGAAGACTGCAGCCCCCAGCAAGGTTAGCGAGCAAAGGTCTATGATGTCGTAGGGATGAAACCTAGTGACGGGGTGTGAAGAGAAGGCAGTTGATGAGGTGGATAGAGAGCCCAGGTACCCCACAGAGCTCAGTGTGATCCACTCTGGTGTCTGCGGACCATTTCCTTACAGCAGGACTCTGGAGAAGTTTGTCAAATGTAGACATGCTGACCTGCTCAGGGGACACGTTCAAGCTTCTTTTTAGGGCTGAGACCCTGGCAGGTGATATACGGGAGGAGAATGCTTCCTTGGAGGTCTTCAGCTTTGAGACTTAGAAAGGCCAAAGGTGTGGACTGTACCCCACAGCCCCCTGTATCCTGGAACCCCCAGTAATGACTGTCTGGGACACACAGGAGTGAGGGTGACAGTCCCAGATAACCTGCTCCTTCTGAGGGGGTCCTTGTGCCATCTCTGTGTCATCCAGTGTCAAGAGGAATCAGGATCCCAAACTTAGTGGCTACTCCCTGGGAACCGGCTAAGCTGTGCCTGGTGAGAGGAGACATAACCCAAGCGCAGAGCCTGGACACTGCTTCCTGTCACAGGAACAGAGAGGAAGAAGTGAGGGAGCCAGCCCCTCATGTCAGGGCAAATGCCACTGCTCTCAAACACAGCTCTTATGACAGTGTCCAGGGTAGACCCCACTGCCAGGTAAAGATGTTGTTAATGAAATCTTTCACAGGCAAAGGAAAGAAGTGACCCGGTCTTATGAGGATTGCGAGGGGCCCTGTGTTGTAATTGCTGAGATGCAGTGGGATTCTGCAGGACGAGGGCATCATGGGAGAGAAGATCTCGCAGGGCATTGCTGATGGAAGGCGTCATGATAGACAGGATTGGTCAGGGAGGAGAGAGGCAGCTGGTCTGCACAGAGGGGAAGCAGGCTGTCCTGGGAGGGATGCATGGCGGGCAGGAACTTCATGCTAATAACGGATCTGCTCACCTCCTCAGTCCTCAGTCTTCACAGGTTACACAGAGTCCTCTTATAACATCTGTCACCAACCTCTAAGGTCTCAGTCTGTCCCTGTGTGGAACCTGGAAACAGGAGGGAGTCATTTTCGCTACCTGGAGCTCCGTGAGTGCTTTGGGATCAGGCAGTGTGACCTCGCCTTTGCCTTCTAACTTTGAAGGAGCAAGAGGACAGACTGGATGTTGGTGAACTACTCCAGTGCCACGGAATTTTACCTCCTCGGCTTCCCTGGCTCCCAAGAACTGCGCCACATCCTCTTTGTCATCTTCCTCTTCCTCTACTCGATGACCTTGATGGGAAACTCGGTCATCATCGTGATTGTCTGTGCCGACAGGCGCCTGAAGTCGCCCATGTACTTCTTCCTCGGCCACCTCTCGGTGATGGAGGTCCTGATCACAACCGTCATCAGCCCCGTGATGCTCTGCGGGCTGCTGCTGCCGGGGATGCAGGCGGTGTCCCTGCGGGGCTGCGTGGCGCAGCTCTTCCTGTACCTGGCCGTGGGGACCGCGGAGTTCTCCTTACTGGCAGTGATGGCCGTGGACCGCTACGTGGCTGTGTGTAACCCTCTGAGATACAGCGCCGTCATGAACAGCCACGCCTGCACCAGCCTGGTGGCCTGCTCGTGGGTGTTCGGGTTCCTTTTTCAGATCTGGCCCGTCTACGCCACGTTCCAGCTGGCTTACTGCAAGGACAACGTGGTGAACAACTTCTTCTGTGACCGAGGGCAGTTGCTGAAACTGTCCTGCGACGACACCCTGTTCACGGAGTTCATCCTTTTCCTGATGGCGGTCTTTGTTCTCTTCGGCTCCTTGATACCCACGATCGTGTCTTATACCTACATCATCTCCACCATCCTCCGGATCCCCTCGGCCTCGGGCCGGAGGAAAGCCTTCTCCACCTGCGCCTCCCACTTCACCTGCGTGGTCCTGGGCTACGGCAGCTGCTTCTTCCTCTACGTGAAGCCCAAGCAAACGCAGGCGTCTGACTACAACAGGACTGTCTCCCTCATGGTGACTGTGGTGACGCCTTTCCTCAACCCCTTCATCTTCACCCTCCGGAACGACAAAGTGCTGGAAGTCCTGAGGGACGGGGTGAAGCGCTGCTGCCATGTGGTGAGGAACTAATCCCACCTCGAGCAGCGTCGTGAAAGAAAACAATTGTTAGGGACTTAGGACCGTGTCGGGAGGACAGACGCATTTTTGAGCTATAGCATAATTACCATCCTCATCTGACAGTCCACTTCCTAAACAACACGCCTCTGGAAACTCTATGAACTTCCATAAACGATGATAGCTATAGAAAGGCTTCAGGCCTTCTGTTCATTGGGTCGTGCTCGACTCGATGGCCATCAACAATAACAACCACAATATCTAACGGTCTGTGTGTAAGAAAACCTTTTTTTATTTTGCTGGTGCTGGTTTTGATGTGCTTGGTTGTTACTTAAAGATTCACTTTTTTATTTTTTTAAGTTTTCTTTGCATACATGTTCAAACAGACATGTAGTATCTTGGAGAGGGTGCAGTCAGAGTGCTCCTTGGAGGCAAAGATGATAAAGTTTAATCTGATATACTTTGGACATAATTGCTAGGAAACGATACTGCTTGGAGAGGGGCATCGTCCTTGGAAAGGCAGAGAGATGGCGAAGGAGAGGGGTGTCCTCAGCCAGGCTGATCGACACAGTGACTCCAGTCATTGCTCTAGCAGTGGGCTCGGCTGTGCAGGGACCCCGAGGATGACAGAATAGGTTAGGATTCACAGCTGTTGCTCATATGGTCGCTATGGGTTGTACCCGCCTCAAAGTCACCTAACAGCATCCACGATGTACACAGGTATATTTCATGTGTATATACAATTTACTCTCCATACATTTTGTTTGCTCTTTTCTAGTTACAATGCATCTCACAATTGTTACCTGCCGTTGAGTTGACATTAACTTAGGCAACTTCTGTGTAGTAGAGTGGAGAGCCCTCTGGGCCTGTGCCAGGTTCACGCTTTGTGCTGTTTGAATCCTTGGCTTCAGGGACGGAATCCATTCTTCTCGTGGTGCTTTTCTCCCCAGTTTTTACTCTGCGTGACCCAATACTAAATGAACATCTGACAATCAACTTATAAATATGAAATATAGAAACATCGTGTGATATTTAGACTTTAGGTCGGGAGAAGCACATCATTCTCTGAGTGCAGACCTGGATCATGACTGGACTGTGGTCCCTGGATCACCCTCTCTTAAGTTGTCCTGGGCTCAATGATCTGGGGTTGTGTGTATCTCATTTGCCTTCCTTGGCCTGGATGCCAAGATTGAAAGTATTTCTTGGTTTCCTTTCCCAAAGTCCTGCTGCCTCAGCACCTCCAGAAGGTGGAGGAGGCGTTGGAGGGGAGGCTCACTTTCCTTAGCTGCTGTCCACGTCGTCAGCGCACTCCTAGTCAGGCAGGCTGTAGAATACAGTGCTGAGCGGAGCCCACAAAGCTGGCCTTGCAGGGCCCCGGGCTGAAAGGTTGAAGGGAAGAGGAGAGGCACAGCCTTGGTGGGCCCACTGTCGGTTTGTTCCACAGTCTGCACCTCAGTCTGACCCACAGCACCTCCGTGCTCCGGCCTCTACCACCTGCCCTGTCCACTGCCTTCTCTGACTCCTTTTCACATCTCTTTCTGTGGTTTGAATTCTCAGCCTCCATTCTCGTTTCTAGGTTCCACTTTTCCTGTGCTCCCCCATGCACCCCAGGTTACCACACTGTAATCCAGCTTTCTAGGTGTTGTCTGAAGGCTTCAGTTAGGCCCACTCAACTCCGTCTCTCTCCTAGGTCAGTCCAGCTTTGTCTTCACTCAATGTGCCCATGTCTACGTCATAAGTAGCTTTTTTTCCCTAACAAAATAATGATATTTTACTAGATCACATAATTTAGGCATATTATTAAGAAGGGCCAGCTTGATGAAGGCCGCGTGCTGGGGAAAGGAGGTCAGTGGGAGGAAGAGCGCTGACAAGGTGGGTGGGCACAGTGACCGCCGCAAGGGGCATAAGCACAGCGGCCGTTGTGAGGGGGGAACCGGTCAGCCCTCAGTCCGTCTGATACGGTCTTGCTGTGAGTCGGTGTCTGCTGAACCGGTCAGCCTTCAGTCTGTCTGACGTGGGCTTGCTGTGAGTTGGTGTCTGCTTGAAGGCATCAAACCACAAGTGACAACAGATGACAACCTCTGTGCTTCGTTAAAGGAATTCTATTTCACCTCTGAAATGAGACAGTATGCGTCTTTTAAGAAGGATTAGAAGGAGGAGGGGAGAAATTCTTTAATTATTAGGGGGGAAAAAATCTCCAAGCTATTGTGTTAAGTGAGAAAAGCAAAGTGCCAAACACTGGATTTGGTTATGCCACCTGAGGTCCAAGAAAGAGAGAAAAAGGAGTCCAGAATGAAGGCTGCACAATGGAGTGGACTTGGGGGGAGGGATTGTATAATAATAAGAGAGTTTTACTTTTCAAGGAGAAGAGTGAATTGGGGGGAAGGGGTGGGCAGGGAGAAAAGTCCAACAGTGAATGACTGGAAACCCTAAGTCTCTGTAAACTTTCATTAAAATTAATTATAAAAAAAAAGACAACATACAAATATTTGCTTCTGTTTGCTTGGGGAAGGTAGCAAACAAGTCAGGAGCTGTTCCTGGAGGATCATGGGAATGGAAGGGGGCAGATAAAGCATGCTTTGGCTAACTGGTGCTGCTGTAACAGAAACACCAAACATGTGTAGTTTTACAAACATAATTCCACCCTCTCACAGTTTGTTGTTGTTATGTGCCATCAAGTCGCCTGTGACTCACAGCAACTCTGTGTACAACAGCCCTAAACCCTGCCCTATCCCGTGCCAATCTTATTGTCTCTGATACACCTACCCCTAATACTCCAATCACTGAATCAATCCATCTGATCGAGGGTCTTCCTCTCCTGCACTGTCCCTCCATTCTCCCAAGCATAATGTCCCTCTCCAAGGACTGGTCCCTCCAAAAGTACTGTCCAAAGTAGATCAGACAAAGCTTCAGAATCTTTGCCTCCAAGGAGTAGCCTGGTTTCACCCTCTCCAGGTCAAACCTGTTTGTTTTCCTAGCAGTCCATGGTATTCTCAATACTCTTCTCCAACACCAAACCCCAAAGGCATCAATTCTCCTTCTATCATCCCTTGTCATTGTCCAGCTCTCTGATGCATAACAAGTGATTGTAAAAGACCATGGCCTGTATCAGGCACACCTTAGTCTCCAGGCTGACATCATTGCTCTTCAGTACTTTGGAGAGGTCTCATGGTTTAGGAGACTATGAACCCGGCTTCAGGGCACTGGCTCTTTCTCTCTAGTGTCCTTTCAGCATCTGCTGGACCAACATTCCTTGGAGACCTTCAGTTTTGGCGTTAGTCCTTCTGGATCTCGGAGGTTCAGGACATAAGAGCCGTAGGTTCTACAGAGGCAAAACTCCCTGCTTTTCTTTCTTGTGGTACTGGGGCCCACCCTCTATCTCCGATTTGTTTCTTTAATCTCTTTTATGCCACAAAAAAGATAGACTCAAAATGCTACCTAATCCCATAGAGTACATCCTGCTTCATTAACATAACTGCCAGTCATCCTCTTTTCTTCCGGAGACTGACCCCTCCTGCTCTGTGGGATGTATCTTTTCTAATAAAGCTGCTTTCGTCTTCACTCTTGTCTCCTAGCCTCTCTTGTGCCAGGATTGTTTGCTAGCAGAATATAATCAGGCTCAAACCAGGGGATTCATCCACAGTCCATCTTGCATTGTCTCCCACCTGGTTCAGTTCTGTGTTCAGCCATGAGATGCTGAACCAGGAAATTCTCTGCATGTAACACTTTCTATTTCCTCTAACTACCTGGGAACAAGCCCTCATTCCAGACTGTTCAGTATGCTGGTGCTGAATTAGCAGAATGGGAGTCTTTTGAATTGTAGTGTTGGAAAAGAGTGTTGACTATACCACGGTCTACTGAAAGAGGAACAAATCTGTACTGAAGGCAGTGTAGCCAGCGTGCTCCTTGGGATCAAGGATGGTGAGACTTCCCCTCACATACTCTGATGTGGGACCAGTCCCTGGAGAAAGACTTCAAGCTTGTAGAGTGGAGGGTCAGTGAGGAGGGAAACCCTTGAGGAGCTGAATGAACACAGAGGTTGTGAGACTGGTACTGGACTGGGCAGCGATTCTTCCTACTGTATAATACTCGGCAGGAAGACTAGGAGCTGAGGCTGACGTGGTGACACCCAACAACAACAATAGCATCTAGAAGTCTCCGAGAGAGGAGTGGTTAATACACTTGGACACAGATGGAAAGGCTGCAGATCCGAGTCTGCTGTGGGACAGTCAGAAGTAAGGTTTGGTGACGAATTTTGAAAAATCCAGTCCTGGAAACCCCAGGGCACAGTTCCCACTGAGGCATAGGGTTTGACCAGGCACCGGAGCTGACTCAGTGACCAGTGGGAGAGCTGCACTTACTGTTTCTACCCAGGGACCCAGGGCCGGCCTGCCAACTGCTGAAGTAAGGGTCCACATCTCCAGACCTCGACCCAGGGACCCTGCAGTGACCTGCCAACTTCTAAAGCAGAGGTCCATGACTCCACGACTCCACCCGGGAACCCAGTGCTGGCCTATCAACTGCTGAAGCAGAGGTCCACAGCTCCAGGCCTCCAGGCATTGGGCTAGCTCCTCACAGACAGGAAGGGTGACACATGTGTGAGTCACAGTAATGGACAGTGGAACTTGTGAAGCACCTTGCTTCCAATTGAGCTGGTTCCTATTCCATTTTATAAATGAGCAAACGACTTTTGAGAGATCAGGTGACTTGTCTGAGTTCAGCTTCCAGTGACATGCGGGGTCCTTCACTCCTTGGATGAAGATTTCCACCTCACATCTCCCAGCTCTTGCTTCCCTACTTGTTCCCTCTGAGATACAGAGAATCATTTTCTTTACTGTTGCTGTTGCCAGGTGTCATCAAGTTGAGTGAGACTCATAACTTTTTGAACAACAGATTAAACCCTGTTCTATGCTGCGCCGTCCTCACAGTTTCTGATACGCTCGAGCCGCTGCTGCAGTCACTGTGTCAATACCCCTGGTTGACGTCTTCCTTTCTTTTCCATCCCTCCACCTTCTCAAGCATGATGTCCCTCTCCAAGGAATAGCCTATCCTAGTGACATGCCAAAGCACTACAGCTGCACCTTCTCCAAGACGTATCTGTTTATTCTTTTGGCAGTTGATAGAATATTCAGTGTTCATCTCCAACACCACAGTTCAAAGGCCTCGATTCTTCTTCTCTCATCCTTGTTCCCTGTCCAACTCTCAATAGCGTGGCAAGTGATTGAGAAGACCATGGCCTTGATCAAGTATACCTTAGTTCTAAAACTCAAATCGCTGCTCCTTAATGATTTGGAGAGGTCCCTGACTGCAGAATTTCCCAGTGCATTATATCTGCTGATCTCCAAGCTGCTGGTATCAAGTGTACTGATCGCTTGTGCATCCAAGTGAGATGAAGTCATTGGCAATATCAATCTTTCCTCCATCTATCATGATGCTGCCTGTAGGTCCAGTGGTGACAATTTTTATTTTCTTGATGTTGAGATGCAGTCCATATTGAAGGCTTTGATCTTCTGTTGAAAGTGCTTCAAGTACACCTCACTTTCAGGAAGCATTGTTGCATAATCTGTGTAACAAAGGTTGTTGATGAGTCTTCCACCAAATATGATGCCACATTCCTCTTCACAGAGTCCAGCTTCTCAAATAATTGCTTAACATACAGATTGACTAGGTATGGAGAAAAGATACAACTGTAATGCATACCTTTCTTCATTTTCAACCATGTAGTGTTCCCTTGCTCTGTTCACACAATAGCCTCTTGGTCTAAGTATAATTTTCTCATGAGCACAATTAAGTGTTCTGGGACTCCCATTTTTCTCAGTGTTAGCCATAATTTGTCATGATCCACATAGTCAAATGCCTTTGTATAGTCAGTAAAGCACAGCAGACATTCTCTGGTATTTCTGTAATACATGCAATGCTTTCGTGGTGTGTACTACTGCCCATTTTATAACAAAACAAACTAAATCTCTTTCACACAAAGGTGAAAGGACTTTACAGACTCACAGCGCTGCAATCAGCAGCGATGTCACAACTCACGCCTGACAGCTGGCTAGCTTTCCGTTCCTATCCCCCCACCATACCACTGCTGTCCGACAGGCTCCACATCTGTCAGCCGTATTCTTCTAAGGACCCAACAGCTGCTTTTAGACCTTGTGTAAAAGTGCCTCCACCTCTGAGGGGGATGTGCGGCTCTCCACTTGGGAAATAATTGATGTCTAAAACATCCATATTTCCTGTCTGTAAAAGTGCAATTATTCTGTTGCAAATTAGGAAGTGTGGCAAGGAAAGCTCTCCCCTTTCAAAGAGGAAGAGTTGCGATTCCCTTTCTGTTGCTAAATTCAGGGCCTTGGCGTTGGCTGCAGTCCTGTTTATTCTTCTTTGTAGCTTCCAGTTGGCATATTAGAAGGTCAGTGAAAAAAGAGGACGTGCCTCAGTGGGGTGGACGGACGGGGGCTGTTACAATGGGCTCAGACCCAGCGGTGACGGTGAGCTCACGATGGCGCCATACTGGGCAGGCCCACAGTGTACGTGGGGTCACCATGAGCTGGGACAGACTCCCTGCCACCTAACAACGACAATGACAACGGAGACAAGAACCACAGGACCAGCCGGCCCCTCTCAGCTGCAGCCTTTGCTCTTTGCTGACCCAGTCACGGAGCACACATCTCACATGGCACTAATATTCTAATTCCAATATCCACCCATCAAATGGAAATTCCCTTCAGTGAGCTCTATCCTGATGGATGGGTCAACTTATTTTATGAAATTGTGAATGCCATGCTAATGAACCCCAAACCATGAAAGCTGGAAATAAAAGGGCTTCATGTTGCAATAAAAAGAAAACTTACAACAATTTAATGTGTTATGTACATGATGAGATATAAATTCATTATGGGGTACATTGTTATTAGACCTAAATGACAAGTAGTTTATGTGTTATGATTATAATCCCATTGGTTTTATGCGGCCATCCTTAGTGGTTTAATTCTCCTTGTTGCAAATACACACAGCCTTTCCTGACTCGGAGGCCTGCACTGAGAAGGGGCAGCTAAGGTTGTGTTGTGTGGACACTCAGGTCCCCAGACCTTCCACGTCTCTCCTGTGTCTCTTCCCAGGTGGCTCGGTCAACTCCTCTTTCCTCCCTCACATGACTTGTTTGTCCCTCATGTCCCCTTGCCCTGTTTGTTTCTGGTTCCACCCAGAGCTTCCCTGTGGGTCAGCTGGGCCAGGCCAGGTCAGTAGGGTGCTGACCAGCATGAGGATAGGGAACTTGGGGTCAGTGGTCAGTCCTTGGAAACTGGTAGCCTAGAGAACTGAAGGGAGACAGCAGCACTTGAGAAGCTCCCAAATATTTAAAGAATCTTCAATACAATGTGACCATCTCATCAAACCTGCAGAGAGAAGGGTCTGTGTAATACCATTTCTGGGGCTGGAGGAGCTACTTTCACTAGGTGGAGGCTCAGGCCAGACCGAGTGAACCTTCCAGTGGGAGGGTCTCTTCAGGGCTTCGCTGGGGAGCAGAGAGTCAGTTTACTGGGTGACCCAGCTGGTCATCTTCCAAGGGAATCCTGCCCAGAGCCAACCCCACCACAAGGACTTGTCTCCTGTCCCACACTCTGCTCTGGGAGCCCATCCCTGGGCCTGACCACTTCCACTGAGGAGCCCTCTGCTGTCCCAGCAGGGGTCCCTGTTTGGATGGGGGTCTCTTTGGGTCTCTGTTTAGATGGAAATCTCTTAGGGTCCCTGTTCAGATGGGGGTCTCTTTGGGTCCCTGTTCAGATGGGGGTCTCTTAGGGTCTGTGTTTAGATGTAGGTCTCTTAGGGTCCCTGCTTAGAAAGGGTCTCTTAGGGTCCCTGTTTAGATAGCAGTCTCTTCAGGTCCTTGTTCAGATGGGGGTCTCCTAGGGTCCTGGTTAGGGCTGTAGATGTTGAGTTTACCCTCTCCCACAATGTGGCTCTCTGCAGAACTTCCACACGTGAACAGCCTGCATTTTCTCCCTGTTGGTGTTACTGAGGTTCTAGCAGTCTAAATCCTGCTGGTCTGTCAGAAACACCAAGTTCTATAGAAACAAATTAGTGTCCACACCAGGCCACCCATCTCCATGAGGCTGATCTTTACCTCAGATGGCTCCACTCAGCTGCCCAGCAGAGTCCATAAGCTCGTGCCCCCAAGCAGGCCAGACCACCACTGATGTGCAGGGGCCACTGGACATTGACCTGTGTGGATCCGCCACAGGTAGGGCTCTCACAGGAAAAGGTCTTGGGGATCGGGGTGTGGAGTGGGGAGTTAGCTGGTGTGTGCGTGTGTGTTGGGGAGGGGCCTGAGCCCCAGTATTCACACAGGAGGCTGGCAGAGGTTCTCGTATGAAGGTACATTGGTCGTCACTCTGTATTTCCTGATCCGGTTGTAAGTACTCTTTCTGCCACCTCCTTGTGTGTATGTGGTGATCTTGTCAGAGATCACAGGGACGGTGGTCATGTGGCTTTCTTCTCACAGATCCAGCGGTAACTGGTTTCACACAGTGCAGAGTCGAAGGTCTGTGTCAGGCCAATGGTCGCACAGTTGAAATTCTCAATGTGGTTGATGACACTAATGAGAAAGAAGGTGTGGTTAAGACCTCACAGATTCCAGAGGGAGGGTCTCAGAGGGGAGTGAGGGAAGGGTGGATGGCTGACGAGGTCTCCTTCTCATCCTCAAGCCAGATTTCCTTTCTCACAGGATCTCTTCTACCCTGAAACTCTCCCTATAGACTTTCCACAAGCTTTTGAGGATATAGAGTCTTGGATTAAGGCACTTTCTTACTGTTAGTCTGGGCAAAGGGGCCAAAGAGAAGAATGAAGAATTCAGAACTCAAATGCTAATGGCCTTGCCTGCTACTGATAAGAAGAGCAAAAGGCCTTGCATGTCTGGCTGAGCTAGCAGGTGGCTCGTAAATCAGAGTGGAATGTCCCTCCCTAAAGAGCATTGCCATGGGAAAGTCTGCTGTTAGGGACCTCTCCAAAGTACTGAAGAGCAATGGTGTCTCTCTGGAGACTAAGGTGCGTCTGATACAGGCCATGGTCTTCACAATCACCTGTTATGCATCAGAGAGTTGGACAATGACCAAGAAGGATAGAAGGAGAATTGATGCCTTTGAGCTGTGGTGCTGGAGAAGAGTATTGAGAATACCATGGACTGCTAGGAAAGCAAACAGATTTGTCCTGGAAAGGGTTAAACTGGGTGGCTCCTTGGAGGCAAGGATTCTGAGGCTCCGTCTAACATACTTTGGACATGTTGTGAGGAGAGACCGGTCCTTGGAGAGGGACATCATGCTTGGGAGGGTGGAGGGACAGCGCAGGAGGGGAAGGCCCTCTTTGAGGTGGATTGATTCAGTGACTGGGATAATTGGGATGGGAGTGTCAGAGACAGTGCGATTGGCACAGGACAGAGCGGAGTTTAGGGCTGTTGTACATAGGGTCACTATGAGTCACAAGCGACTCGACGGCACATAACAACATCAACCACCATGAAGTTCACAGTGTGACTTCCCATTCTGCTTCTCCAGGATGAGGACTCACCTGGGAGCTCCCCTTTCCCCCCTTTAATAAAGCTGCATTAAGCTTTCTCCCATTCTCTCTGATTTCTTCTTGAAGTCCACTAACCTAACACTTACTTATACGGTGCTACTAGAACACATGTAGACTTGGCATTGTAGTGGTGGCATTATGTGTTGGACTTGTCACTGTAAGTTCGCTGGTTCAAATCCATCTGCCTTCCCACAGAAGACAGACGGCAGGCTAGAGAGTGACAGCTCCAGGAACCTGGCTGAGGTCGCCATGAATTGGAATTGCCTTGATGACACTGAGTTTACTGTAACAGTGATACTGCAAGTGACCCGAGATGGTCCAGCACTGGCCATTTTAGATCAATTATATGATCTGTTGTGCTGGAAATGACAAATTGAAGAAGAATGATTTCGCATTCATTCTCAGAAGGAACAGTTCACTCTCTATCCTGAACTACAATGCTGTGAGTAATAAGGTACTATCCACATGGATCAAAGGAAGACTTGTTAAAGCACCAACCACTAAAGGCAAAGATGAAGAAACTATGGATTTCTACACATTTGTGCAGCCTGAAATAGATCAAATATGCAATCAAGAAGCATTCATAATTGTGACTGGAAAAGATGGAAACGAAGAAATACTGAGAGTTGGGTAATAGGACCTTGGTGGCAGAAATGAGGGAGATTGAATGATATTGTTTTATACATTGGATAATTTATTAATTTCAAATACTGTTCTTTTTTTAAAAGCATGATCAACCGCTGTTGTTCACATGACTCAGTTGACTACATATGTCGAAAGAAAACAGTGGAGACGCTCACTCGTAGCCGTTAAAACAAGGCTGACTGTGCATCAGATCACCAACGGCTCACATGTATCATCCACTTGAAATGAAGAAAACGAAGACAAGTCCAAGAGAGCAAAGTACTGCCTGATGTATATGCACTTGAATTTATAAACGATTTCAGGAATAGATTGGATGAATGAACACCAACGACTGAGGTCCAGACGCACTGTGTGATGCTATCAAGGATCTCATCCATGAAGAAAAGTAATCGAAAAAGGGATGTTAGAATAAAACCCCCCCAAATTTTTTTAAAGAAACCGGATGTTAGAAGAGACCCTGAAACTTGTCTTGTAATGTTAAGTCAGTTGAAACAAAGAGAAGAAATGAAGAGAACTGAACATATTTCAGGTCAATTCAAGGACGGTTGGAGAAGTCAAAGCAAAATACCTTAACACAATATAACAACTCAGGTTAGAAAACAAAAGGAAAGAACCAAGCTGGTATTTCTCAAGCTGTGAGAACTGAAAAACAAAGTCCTGCCTTGACTTGCAGTACTGAGATTCTATGGATAAGATGCAGCAAGAACTCAAAAGAAGAGGGAAGCAACAGTCACTGAACCATTTCAGGAAGCAGCATATGATTAAAACATGATGATACGGAAGGGGAAAGTTCAAGTGACGCTGAAGTCATTCGGAAAGAATAAGATTCCAGTGGTTGATGAATTGCTAATCGAGATGTTCGGGCAAACAGACGCAGTGACTCATCTGTGTCAACAAATACGAAGACAGAAGACACGGTCCTGGCCACTGGCTGGAAGAGAAATATTTGTTGCCATTTCAAACAGGTGAGTGTGGAAATGATAATGTCAGCAACAAGTTATTTCTTGCTGATGATTATTAAAATATGACAGGAATTAAAAAGTGATATAGCGTATTATGGTTATCACAAGAGTCCACAATTAAGGTTGCACAGTGGAATGTACTTGGGGCAGTGGGAGGGGCCCGAGGGGATTGTGTACCAGGGAGGGAGTTTTACTTTTAAAA